TGGTGGGTGTGTGTGGGGGGGGTGTGTACCACTGTTACTCACCTAGTTGAGGTTGCGGGGGTCGAGTCCGAGCTCCTGGCCCCGCCTCTTCACTGATCGCTACTAGGTCACTCTCCCTGAGCCGTGAGCTTTATCGTACCTCTGCTTAAAGCTATGTATGGATCCTGCCTCCACTACATCGCTTCCCAAACTATTCCACTTACTGACTACTCTGTGGCTGAAGAAATACTTCCTAACATCCCTGTGATTCATCTGTGTCTTTAGCTTCCAACTGTGTCCCCTTGTTACTGTGTCCAATCTCTGGAACATCCTGTCTTTGTCCACCTTGTCAATTCCTCTCAGTATTTTGTATGTCGTTATCATGTCCCCCTATCTCTCCTGTCCTCCAGTGTCGTCAGGTTGATTTCCCTTAACCTCTCCTCGTAGGACATACCTCTTAGCTCTGGGACTAGTCTTGTTGCAAACCTTTGCACTTTCTCTAGTTTCTTCACGTGCTTGGCTAGGTGTGGGTTCCAAACTGGTGCCGCATACTCCAATATGGGCTTAACATACACGGTGTACAGGGTCCTGAATGATGTGTGTGTGTGTGTGTGTGTGTGTGTGTGTGTGTGTGTGTGTGTGTGTGTGTGTGTGGGTGGGTGTGTGGGTGTGTGTGTGTGTGTGTGTGAGTGGGTGTGGGTGGGTGTGTTGTGTGTGGGTGGGTGGGTGGGTTTGGGTGTGTGTGTGTGGTGGGTGTGTGTGTGTGGGTGTGTGTGTGAGTGTGTGGGTGGGTGTGTGGGTGTGTGTGTGAGTGGTGGGTGTGGGTGTGTGTGTGGGTGTGTGTGGGTGGGTTGTGGGTGGGTGTGTGTGTGTGGTGTGTGTGTGTGTGTGTGGGTGTGTGTGTGTGTGTGGGTGGGTGGGGGGTGAGTGGGTGGAATCAGGAACAGGACTGGAAGAATCTCACCTACGTACTTTGTATATGAGGTGAGTGTGGCTGTGCCTGCCCGAAGATGCTCTTACCATTACACTGTCTGACACAACGTGAGTGCCAGCCCTCACGGTGCCAGCCAGTCTGGCGCCACTCCTCAGTTCAACGCTGTCACTTGGCTCACTCATAATTTCTTTTAGGTTAAGTGTTAAAAATAGAGAGGTGTGGCAGGCAGGTGTGATGAACAAAAGTAAATTTGCAAAGAGAAACTACACCCGTACCTGCTCAAGTGCTTGATCAGCCAGGTTATGATGGCTATGTAAACCTGCGGGCTACTAGCAGCAACAGCCTGGTTGACCAGGTAGTGAACATGGATATTTGTCTTCATGCTAAGCTGCGAGTGTAGAAGAACCCTGGGAACCAGTTAGAGTTATGTCACTCCTAAAATACCTTGTGGGTTGGGGAAGCAGGCTCACCAAGAACTATTAGATACATATCCGGGGAATCGGGACATGAGCGCCCTAAATTCCCACCAGTGCCTAGAGAAGCTGAATATAGAAGTATACAAAGTATGTATGAAGCAAACCATACCCCGGCCGGGAATTGAACCCGGTTACTGAATTGCTTAAAAACACAGATATGTTGCAATAAAGGAAAGATAGGTTTAGCCTAGAGACCACTGATAGAGCAAAAACTCAGGATGTCAAACCTGACAGAAGTACAAAGGGAACAAGGGGCCATATAGGATATTGCAAGAAACCCAAAATATTTCTATTCCTATGCAAAATCCAAACTAAGAACTACTGTAGAATTGGACAATTATAAAAAGAGTTTCGTATACTGAGAGAACAGGAAATGAATGAACCCACTAAATGACAGCAAGGTAGAAAATGCAGAAATTTTTTCACTCCAGCAGAAGGGCCGCGCAGACTAACTACGGACATTATTTACAATTCCCAAGATTTCGAAAAAATGGACATGTCCACTCACTCAGCACCGGGAAACCAGGTTCATGGAATGCTCAAAAGAAGTGCAAAGTACCACTAGCACGAGCCCTCAGTATTCTTTTGAGAAAGAGCTTAGATCCAGGTGAAATACCGGAGGCCTTAAAGAGTGCAGACATAGCTCCTTTGCATAAGGGAGGTAGTAGAGCACTAGCTAAAAATTACAGTGATGAAAACGGGAGATTACAAATTTCATGGACCAGCACAACCAGCATAACCCGAACCAACATGGTTTTAGAGCAGGACGATCATGCTATCACAGCTGCTGAAAACCCTTATGACAGAATTACGGAGGCATTGGAAGAAGACCAAACGCATATGTGATTTAGACATTTTGCAAAGGTGTTTGACAGATGCGATCATGGATTTATAGAGCCAAAATGAAGGCCATGGACATTACGGGAGGTAAGCAGATGGATCTTCAGGTTCCTAACACACAGAACACAAAAAGTAGTAGTAAACAGAGCAAGATCCAGCATCAGCGAGGTCAAAGCTCAGTGCCCCAATGCGCTGTTCCTGGCACCTCTGGGTGTTTCTCATCCATATAGCAGACATATATAAAAAAAACCCGTCACACTTTTGTAATTTGCAGATGACACTAAAATAAGCATGAAAGTCGCTACGGTAGAGACACTGAACAATTGCAGGAAGACATGAGCAGGGTTTTTTCCCGTGGACAGTTGAAAACATGACGTTCAGTGGTGATAAGTTCCAGGTATGGAAAGAATGAAAAACTCAAAAGGAACACTATATACAAAACTCAAGAGGTCACCAAATAGAACGAAAGGAACAGGTAAAAGACCTGGGAATAATTATGCCCGCTGACCTTTTTTTAAGGAACATAAGACAAAAAATCACGACAGCCAGGAAGATAACGGGGTGAGTATTGAGAAATTTCAAAACAAGGAGATAATGCGAATGGTGACACACTTCAAATCACTAGTGCTCCCTCATTTAGAATATTACTAAGTGCTGACAGCCCCGTTCAAAGCAAGAGAAATATCGGGGCTGGAACAATACAGAGATCGTTACGGCTCACATTGAGCCAATAAGCCACCTAAATTGCTGGGAACGCCTGCAAGCTCCTTGACATGTACTCATTGGAGCGGGAGGAAAGATACATGACAATATATAACCTGGATAGAACTCGAGGGCTTGTCCCAAATCTGCACACTGCCATAACAACTACTGGACGTGAGAGATATGGGAGGAAGTGCAAAAAAAACCCAGTGAAGAGCAGGGGTGCAGTGGATACGATAAGGGAAACACTGTATCAACATTCCGGGGTCCTAGATTTATTCAACATCTTGCCAGAAGATATCAAAACAAGGCTGGAACAAGTGGTAGAAGCCTCAAGAGGAACGTGGACAAGTATCTTACTAGGTGCCAGAACAACCAGCTGTGATGGATATTTTGGACAGCGGGCCTCCAGCAGCAACAGCCCTGTAATCGACGAGCCTGGTCCATGCCGGGCTCCGACGTAATAAACCATGAAACTCTCATAGGTATATCAGAGGTAAGGTATACCTTGTAAACCTATTTTGTACAGAAATACCATTAACTGCGAGCATTGGTATTGAAGTTCTCACCTATTTTTCTTACAGTTGTCATTGTTACTGGCCCTTCCTGTCAACTCTTGTCGATCGATTTACAGAGTGCTGCCTCCAGGCCGATCATGTCTACTCCCTTGGAGCTGCGTGGGTTTTTGTTTCTTGAATTAAGACGCGTTACGGCTACAACCTTCAGACTAAGAAAGTACTTCTTAACGTCACTGTGCTGTGGCTCAAACTGCGCCTTTATTACTTCCATCAGTGTTCCCCCTGGCCTCGCCCTCAATGCCTCTCAGCTTGTCCTATCCTTTCGTAATCCCGCAATATTTTGTGTCATGGATCGCATCTGGTATTAGCTTGATTTCCTAAAGTCCACATTCTCGTAGTTCAGTCTCTTCTTTAAACTGAGTATTCTCAGTTATCTTTATATATTTGACAAGGTACCAGCCTGGTTTGTGAAATTTTGTCTGGATCCCGCTGTTTCTCGCATTAAAATTCCCGTTAGAGTTCCTCTCTCTAAACTTTTTTTTCCTTCCTTTTTTCAAACCTTGTAATCATTGCTGTGCATCCATTTCTTCCTATCCTCCTGCATCTACTCATTATTCTTTGTTAGTTACATCCATACTTTTTTGAATTATTACTTCTTTCACCGTTCCGTCATTTTCCATCGTAGCGTGGCTTGGTTCTCTTATTTAGCCTTTATGTCTTGCCCAATTGTCTTTTGTGTAATCTTTTTATCCTAGCGTGGTCCATTCCTAGCTCTTATGGTCATGTCCTGTTTTCTACTGTTCCTTGGTAAAACACACACAATCAATATGATGTGTTCCTTTAATTGACGAAGAATCGCCACCGCAGTGGCTTTATTAGGTTTGTGACTTTGATAAGCCCACTGTGTGGGCGAAAATGTATTGTCCCATAAAGGTTTGCATAGTACATTTGTATTCTCTTACCCATCGTGCGCCGTCATTTTATACCATTGACTTGCCGCTGTTCTTTGTATATATTTTCCATATCTTTTGTCTTACTGCACTTCCTTTGTAAATCATAGGTTTTGTACTACTACCTCTATCCTTGCTGAAATAAATCTATCTATAACTTTTCCTTGGTATGCGTTTAGTACCCGTCTTTCATTTCACGTAGTGTCGTTTAATTACCTCCTACAGTAAGTCAGTTTATTTCTTACATCACACTCGCCTCTTTCCATACGGCACCCCATTCAGTCTCACCGCTTAGGAATGTGGTCCACTGACTCAAGATGTTCCTCGTAGGAATTCCTTGTGATTCAGGGAAAATGCCAAAGAACCGCAGCCTGAAATATTCATACAACGATTTTCAAAACGAATTGTTATATGGAAATGCTTGAGCTTGACTTCAAAGTTTTGTGCGATCGAAGATCCTGGCTCAGTCTATTAGAATAGGGAACAATCAAGAATATAAAAAATCAAAACGCAGACATTTACCGCAGGATTATATATGGAATAAAATACCTACACGATGAAAAATAAAACACAAATGCATGTAATGCGATCCTTTATCGAGTAACATTTCGCCACAACACACTGTGGTTATTTATCAAGTTCACAAACAAATTCTGTTTATGACTTGATAAAGCTCTCTGGTGGGCGAAACATTGTCAGTATATCCTTGCACCTTTAATTTCCCATCCTCGTAACAGACATGAACAGACACCACAGCTTAGTGGCGTCTTTTGCCGGACGGGTAACAATGTTAGAGTAAATGGTCCAAGTGGAAAGATACGTCGAAGGTAAGTTTCTGTCTCCTGATGTGCGGGTTATTTGTTATGTCCCAGTCACGGTATTGTGCCTTTATGATATCGAGTGTGAATGAAAGTTACGCTCAGTAGGAGACACTAAAATATTCACTTACCAGGAAAGGAAACAATAATACGTTTAATGTGACAATTTACAACTACTACTATATTACAGATATATACTCAAGAAAAAAACAAAACTGGAGGCGGAAAAGAAAAACCGAATTCATATGTTTGTATAGTACATCAAATGTAAAAAAAATCGAGATAGCATTAGATCAAGAAATGTAGATAAGCCTAAAAGTTTATTAGTTAAGATTTTTGACACCAGGGTCAGTTCCAGCTCTTCGCGCCACTATCCTCAGCCCCTCCACTATTTTTGTGGGTACCAGCTTGCTGCATGTCAGGTGCGGGGAACACATGTGTGAATAGGTTGTAGGCCAGGTGTGTGAGCAGCTGAGTAAGCCTTGTATTTGTGTGGCAGTTACTCTGTGTTTTGAAGTTATGGAGCCGTGTGTGTTGGCAGTTGTACAAAACCGTGCACGACGTTTGTGTGTGTGTGTTGTGTGTGTGTGTGTGGTGTGAGTGTGGTTGTGTGGTGTACTCACCTAGTTGAGGTTTGCAGGGGTCGAGTCCCAAGCTCCTGGCCCCGCTCTTCATTGGTCGCTTACAGTTCACTCTCCCAGAACCGTGAGCTTTATCATAACCTCGCTTAAAGCTATGTATGGATCCTGCCTCCATCCATCACTATTCCCAGACTATTCCACTCCTGACTACTCTGTGATTGATGAAAACCTTCTCTAACATCCCTGTATTCATCAGAGTCTTCAACTTCCAACTTGTCGTCCCCTTGTACTTGTGTCCAGTTCTCTGGAAACATCCTTTCCTCTGTAACCTTGTCAATTCCTCTCAGTTAATTTATAAGTCGTTTATCATGTCCCCCCTACTCGCCTTGACCTCCAGGTCGTCTGTCGGCTTCCCGTAACCTATTCTTAGCTCCGGTATGTAGTCTTCCTGCAAACCTTTGCAACTTCCTCAAGTTTCCTACGTGCTTGTGCTAGATTGTGGGTTCCAAACTGGTGTTGCATACTCCAATATGGGCCTAACGTACACGTGTACAAGTGTCCTGAACGATTCCTTATTAAGATGTCGTAATGCTTTCTTAGGTTGCTAGCGCCCATATGCTTTCAGCAGTTTATTTATGGTTGATGTCGCCACAGGAGGATGTGCCCCGGTGTTATACTCACCTCCAAGATCCTTTCCATTTTAGTGAGGTTTGGTATCTCTGGCCCCCCGAACTGTACTCCGTCTGTCAGTCTGTTTTGCCTTCCCCAATCTTCATGGCTTTACACATGGTGGGGTTAAACTCCAGAAGCCAGTTGCTGGACCAGGGCGCAGCCTGTCCAGACACCTTTGTAGTTCTGCTGCCTGGTCCTCGCCCGATTAAATTCTCTCATCAACTTTGCCATCAACTGCAAACAGGACACTTCGGAATCTATTCCTTCCATCATGTCGTTTCACAATACCAGAAACAGCACCGGTCCTAGGACTGACCCTGTGGAACCCTGCCTCTTACAGGCGCCCACTTTCACACCTCGGCCACGTTTTCCATGACTCGCTGTTGTCTGACCTGACAGGTAACTGCCTGAGCCATTGCAGTGGCCTTCCCTGTTAATCCCTGCCTGTTCCTCCACTTTTGCACTAATCTCTTGTGGAACTGTGACAGACGCCTTCTTGCAGTCCAAGAAAATGCAGTGTACCCACCTCTACCTCTCTTACTGCTGTCACCATGTCCATAGACCTCCAGTAGGTTTGTGACACAGGTTTTCCCGTCCCTGAAACCAAGCTGGCTGTCCGTTGAATAAGCTACCCTTCTAGGTGCTTCCACCACTCTTCTGATAATCTTCTCCAAGACTTTGCATACTATTCATGTCCAGTGACACTGTCTGTAGTTAATGCTTCGTGTCCTGATCTCCTTTTTTTAAAAATTGGACTACATTTGCTGTCCTTCTATACCTCAGGTATCACCCTGTTTTCATAGTGTGTTGAATGAATGTTGTTAGTATAACACATAGTGCCTCTCCTCCCTCTCTCAGGACTCCATGGAGAGATATTATCAGGCGCCCATCGCCTTTTGAGGTATCTTAACTTTCTTAGGCAGCCTCCTTCACTTCTGCCTCGGTTGTATGATTTGTGTTCAACCCTTGATGGAAGGTACCCCACCTTTCTGTCTTTCTGAGTCCCTTCTGTCTCCTCTGTGAACACTACTTTTAAACTCATGTATTGAGTCCTCCAGTACTTTGCGGTCGTTTCTTGTGATCTCCCCCAGTTCCTCAGTCTGATAAAGTGGTTCCTTGACTGTTGTTTTCCTCCTGGTGTGGCTGCGCAACATCTTCGGGTCGGATTTTGGGCTTTCACTGCAATGTCATTTTCATAATGTACGTTGCCTCCCTTCTGTACCTGTAGCATATTCATTTTCTGTCATATCTGCAACTTCTCATCCTTATTTCTTCTCGCTGTGACCTTTGCCTTCTTTACTTCATGCCATATCTCTAGCACACTGGTTTTGCCTCACTACACCTTTGGTGAACACATGGCTCATTCCTGGGCTTTCTTCGTTATTTCTGTTAGCCCTTGGGTTAAATTGTATATATACAACACTCGTCGTCAGTTCATTTCTGCATATTGTTATCAACATATTCCATCATTCTCGTTTACATGATTTCTTTGTGCCAGTTCTCTGTCCCACTGAAACCCATTGCAGATAATTCTTCATGCCTGTTAGGTCCCCCTTTACTGTAGTTTGGCTTCCATTCGTCCCTTCCATTCCTGCCATCCCTCTTATACATTGTAAATCTATGTATCGATGCTCAGAACCACGTGATCACTGGTCCCGAGGGGTCATAATCAACTATAGGATGTGACCTCAATAATCTGCACTACTCAAGGAGAGGTGATACTAGGTCAGTCTTGCTGGTTCATACCTCTCCTACTCTCTCTGGTAGCGTCCCTTACATGTTGGTACTTGAGGTTTTCCAGTACACGTACCTCCATCATCTTTTAAGCCCCTCTAGGGGGGGGGGGGGGGGGGGGAGGGGGGGGGGAGGGACGTTCCTGGTGCCTCGTGTGGCTCCAGTTTCTCCCATTCGATTTTCTTCTTGTTGAAGTCACCCGATTATCAGCACTTTGCCGTGCCATTGCATCTCAGATGCCCGTCTCGGCCACTCAGCTACAGTGTGTCAACCAACACTCTGTACTGCTCATACATACTCTTCCTTGGCCTCACTGCTGTTCCAGTGCGGTTATACATCCTGAAATTACTCTTCCTTTGAGGGGGACTTACAGAGTCTGATCAGATCTATTGGTGGTAGTCATCTTGCTTCTCCGTCAGCCTCTCTCCACTCTCATACAATATCCCATCGGTTTGAGATGAGCACGCCACGCCTACACCCCATGCTGTTTCCTCTGAGTACTTTCCTCAGATCTGATATTCCAGAGGAAAGATTAAGCATCTGTTATCATTCCTGTGAGCTTGGTTATCTGTGAGAGCTACGATGTCCATTGATGCCTCTTTGGGAATCGTCCTGCGCAACCTCCCCACTTATTCCGTTATTCCATCAGCGTTGGTGTACCATAACCTCAGTTTCCACTCCAATCACTGTCTGGGGGTCTGTGAGGGTGGGGGAAACCTGACAGTAGATGCTGTGGATCTACAGTGATAGTTGGGATAGGGCTACAAGTTTGGTGGGTGGTTTTGTGCTGGATAGCGTGTTTTATTGTTGGTTCTGGGTAATTCTATGTTGTGTAGTCGCCTCCCTCCTCTGCTGAACATGCTGATGTGTGTGTGTGTGTGGTGTGTGTGTGTGTGTGTGTGGTGTGTGTGTGTGTGCGTGGTGCGTGTGCGTGTGCTGTAGTGTGTGTGTGTGTACGTGTACTTTATCTAATTGTGGGATGCAGGGTTCGATTCATAGCCTATGCTGTGTGTGTGTGTGGGTGTGTGTGTGTGTGTGTGTGTGTGTGTGTTTGTGTGTGTGTGTTTTGTAAGCATTTTAATAACAGTGTAGTTTGGGTAGGATTGTATTAACTATGAGTGCAGAACAGTGTTTCAGCAAGTGGTAATGGCTGGCATGAAGCCAGGTGTGTGATGCATAGTGTACGTAGACGACAAATAAATGTGTGTCTTGGAATGCAACGGCCACAGTATCGGCAGCAGGTGAGGTCTCACACGATACCTGTGCTTGGTGTCTTGCTGGTGATGGTTCATGTGACTGTTACCACAGATGTAGGCGTGTCATCACTTGTCGGTGTCTTTTGGCAGCATCTAATCTGGGCATCACAGCCTTGCCTGATCAGGAACTACTGTATCAAACAATCTGTCGAGTTTCTCTTTTGAAGACAGAGGTGTATGTTTATATTATCCCTATACCTATTGAGGAATTTCGCGTCTTTTACTCCGGAAAGATAATGGAACCTCTGTTTTTTCATTGGGATTATTCAGCACTGTCCTACACTGCTACATATTGCCGTAAGGAATTATATCAGTGCGCAAGTTGGAATGAATTCCTCCTAATAATTTTTCTGGGTGAATTCATGATACATTTCTTGTCTGCTTTCCAATGGAGTTAACAATTTGAAGTATCTTGGACGTATGCCATACTTCAGGTATTTGAATTGATGCAGCGTGAGTTTAAATTAATATACATTTATGTATGCCTTAAATGGGCTCATATTGTTACACAATATTTCCGGTCTAAGACACTACCTTAGTGTATCATTAGTGTCCTTGCATAAGACTTTTTGATTTTGCTGCTAAGCGGCTAGTTTGTATTGTGCATTCCATATTCCATTCTGTGGACGGTAGCGCAAGAGCATACTGGATACACAAGAGGCCAAAAGAACTTAGACTCAAAAAGGTGAGAGCAGGACATATCACTGGACTATGTCTACAGTTACTTATCTCTTGCTACAGCAAATATTTGAAACTTGACATTAGG